ACTACCCAGTCAATGGGATTTTATTATGCTTCCAGCAACATTCATTTCATTCACAGTGAAAGTTCAACATATTTTCATTTCCATACAGCATTACCTTACATACATATGCTCTATAAACCAGAGAATGGGTATACATGGTTGGGTAGATACATGTTAAACAGCACGTCTAAGACCATATTGCATTGCACCTGCAAGCAGTTGTTTCTGTAATAATGGGGAAGAACAGAAGACTAAAAAGACCAAAGGAGTTACATTTTGAAGAAGATATGTAATGCCACTTGTTTACTTCTGTATTTGTATAGATCAAAATCATAATGCACTATTACTAGCCACAGTCTGTTTCACATTTCCACTGAAAATGCATGTGTTGGAATGGAGAAATGTCAGTAAGTCAGTGAGCATGTACAGTATGTGCAGTACCTGAGATCAAGTTTCTGGTAACAGTATTTGGTACAGTCAGTTTTTGGTCAAGGTGCATGTACATTTCATCAGTATCTTCACAGCATGTCTGTGACTGCACTCCTAACACAACTGCTAGTCTTCTCTCTTAAATTTATTCATGCCTTCCATATTCTCAGCAGCTTGAGGTGTAGTGTTTCTGGCACTTGCGCTATGATTCTGCCTCAGGCGGTGCTCTGAGAACCAGTTGGAGACGGTCATGGCAAGGCGGAGGAGACCCAGGCTGATGCAGTGCACCTCTGAGGTGATGGGGATGTCAGAAAAGAGGGCACGGTCCCGGCACATGAGAGCACTGCTGCATTCAAAATCTTTGACGATGTTGAGAATCTCCTGGCGCTCTGCCTGCCGCATCATCCCTCGTATGTTCAGGAGGCTGGAGACATGCTTCTTCCTGAGGAGAAGAAGAATATGTGGAGGAAGTTGAAGGGAAGGAGGGTAGATGAGTGTTCATAGACATTAAGTCTTTTTGGTATTGTCAACGTCTGTTATGATTTACAGTAAGAGTGACATGTGTCTGAGTCACAGCATCTGTGTCTGGGAAAGAACAGGAGATTTGGCACCACCCTCTAAAGGACGCATTTCATGAGTTGTGACTATATTAATTTAGTAAACCACTTACTAATAACTTGTCCTCTACTAATCTTTTTTGTTTGTTTTGTTTTTCATTGACATGTTTGCCCATGTGCAGGCACCGTCATGTGGGCATGAATGGACTCCGCTGCAGCTAAATAAAACACCCATAAAGCTCAAGGAAGACCCATAGCCTTTGATGTCCAAAAATACCAGCAGGGAATGCCATACAGTAAACAAAAGGGGTGAGTCAAGCAGTGAGTTAGCATCTCTCTAGGTCTGAAATACTATGCTTTGCTCTCCTATTCCACACCTATCTCTCCTTGAGTCCAAGTGTGGCACCAGGCTGTCTCCTGCGGAGTGACAGGAACAGGAAGTACTCGGCAGCAGCTTCCTGTCTGCTCCACGGAGGGTTATGCATCACATACCAACCATCACCTGTGTCTTAATTTGTGCACAAAAGCTTGGCTGGGTCTCCCCTCGAGGCTTCTCAGACTCATTCTGAAAACAGCCTCACACTCATCTCCAAAAATAGAAACATTAATGTACATGTGTTTTTGCTCTCCCTTTCCTTGTTTTGATCCATTGTGACAAAAAGAAAAAAGATCATGGTCTTACATTTATCCCAGTTAGGCTAGGGGCCAAAAACAACACTGAATGTGTAACAGTAAGTATAAAAAAAGTGTAAGACCGACAGGGGTAGTGTGCAGATATATTTGTTTTTACAGAGGCTTCCTGGTTGCAATAGAAATGCTCCTTAATCTGATAATAATCTTAATAGAAATGCTGTTAATCTCACCGTATATCTGGAAACTCTTTCACCAGGACAGCAACCTCCATCTGGATGGAGGGAGTGTCCTCCAGGAGAATGATGTCAGCAAGGTGGCAGATGACACTATCCAACCAGGATGAGCTAGATTCCTAAAGAGAAGACAAAGAGCCCAGCAACAATTTAATCATCAAACAACAAATATTATAACAGTTATAACAATAAAAAACTTTGAATTGATGATTACATAAGGCTTTCTTTTCAGAATGTAACTAAAAGTGGAAAGTTCACTGCACTTGTCATTTGTTATAACTGGTTATCGAAATAGACATTTAATGAGTGTTATTAAAATGAAGTCTAGCAACAATCGTTCCTTCAGAGGAAGCACATAGTACTTTTCAAGGCCAGAGGCCAAACACTGCTATGGATAACAAAACTCCACCTCTGTTTTTGTAAGTCCTGTTTTTCCTTCAGACACTTAGAAAAAAGAAAGCTAAGCTCTTTGGCTTGGCATTCATTAAAAATAGGCATTAAATATTACCCAACCGGCCTCCCACTCAAACTCGAGTATGCACTTTCAACGGACACTTCAACTCATATAAAGGCCACCCCAGAGCCACATCAAAGCCAGCCAGCTGACAGGAACAGGAAGGTCCTTTTGAACACAGCAGCTTCCTGTTGTCAGCCAAGGTGATGGACACTTGTTTGAACTCCACACAGAAAGGGGGCAAATGGCATACTGTCAGGCCCAGTTGTTTTACACCCTCTTCCCCCTCTGGTAGGCGCTAAAGTAAGCTAGGTTCATCCATGTCCAACTCACTGACAGCAGCCATTTTTCATAGCTCACTCTTGTATCAACACTGGCTGAGTTATTCGTGACCTAGGAAGTTCACAGCCACCAGGCTCTGCATTCCCCTCACCAGCTCTGCTCAGTGTGCCAAACTATCAGTAGTTTGAAATTATTTACAGTAAATGTGAGCTCTCCTGAGTAATTATTACTTCTGCATTGAATTCTTTGGATTTCATAGTCCTTCTTGAGGCCCTTTGTCAGAGAATGCAGTATACAGAATGCCAATCCAGACTCATAATGACACGGCTCACTGGGGGTCCATAGAACAATAACCTATAATGCAACGTCCTTTGCAGGACAGGTCAGTCTATACAGTATGTGTCCTCTTTAATGAAATTGCCTGATTCATTTAAATAAATGTGAAGACCAGCCTAACCAGATCTTTAAAGAGTCCTCTCAGCTGTTTGGCCTCATCTTGGAGGCGGAAAGCCATCCTCTTCCTCATCTTGGAGGATGTGCAGATGACCCGTCCCCGCATTATGGCTCCCACAAAATCCCCCACGACCCCCCCCGGGGCCCCCCC